GTAAGTGACTTGTCCCGATGACGGATCTCTTTCGGCGGGGTTCTTGAGGGACTAAGTCGGGAAAAAAAATAGAATATGGAGACTCTTCCTGATGACAGATCCTTTAGACAATTTTCTTGAGGGAAGTCAGTCTAGAGAAAAGACCAAAAAGATTTTTTATTTTTATTTTTAGGTAGTGTAGTAACTCCCCCTTGGTTTTTCTTTGGGCCACGGTTCTTTTCCAAGGGTTTGACTTGAACCGGGTATAGGTAGCTTTTGTTTTGTTCTTTTTAGTTTTAGATTAGGATAATGGGCTACGAGTTAAAATCGAAGGAAAAATCCTTAGCGTTTTTACACCTGAACACAATAGACACTAGAGTGTAACGCTTAGCTTCAAAGGTTGAATCTTGTTTAAGTGCCTTCAAATTGTATGTTTGTATCTAACTTGAACACTCAAAAGAGAATGTCTTCATAAACTAATCCGGAGTGAGTCATGTGCCATGTGTGAGTGAGTTTTACTGTATTCCATGATTCACATTTGATGCCTAGAACTTGCCCTGTGTGTTTGCAAAGCGAAATAGTGGTTTCATTCAGTTTTAGAAGTGATATAGGCATTTTGTTGTTGAGCCAGACATATATAATAAACCCACCTGAATGCATTACATCTTATTTAACTCTGTTGAGCCTATAAGCCCGTTTCTTTGGCAACCACATTGCGAACCTTACCCAATTGTTTGAATAGCTTACTGTTTGAACCCTTTTACCTCCCAATAAGCACTTGAATAGTATTGACAATATGCAAAAGCAAAAGTGTGGGGTGGTGGTTTGGTTTTTGAGTGGAACCATCGAAATAAAGAAAGGTGCTGAATTTTGAAGCATAAAAGAAGAAGTATCACGAAAAAAAAAAAAAAAAAAGAAAAGAAAAGGGGTTATAAATAATTCTAGTGGTTGATAAGTGGTAGTTTGTGCAAATTGCACCTAATGGATGGGGGTGTTGTAAATAAATGTGGTGGAGTATTTGGTTGACACAAGTATGATCTTGAAGGTTAATGTAATTGTATTAAAAGTGCTTAGGGAGGTTAGTCACTATATCTAAATATATCCTATCCGTCCCTTAGCCAACATTACAACCAAGTGAAGTCCAATTGATCTTAGATTGAGTGGGCTCGATTAGTAGAGTATTACACTACGGGCAAGCTTATGGTGCATCTTTGTGGCATGTGAATGTTCTTTTTGAGAGTGAGCGTATTCTGTCTATCTTAGTTCCTAATTGTTCTAAACCTTATTATATGTGGAACTACTCTCTTGTGTGATGTGAGGGCATGTGATTCACAAAGGAAAGGTAAGTCTGGGCTCTTGTATAGAGTGGTTTGAGTAAGTGCGAATGTTGCATGGTACGAAAGATGTGACTCTTGAGGTAAAGGTTGTTCACTACTAGGTGCAACTTTGGTAAAATATTCAAGGTATGAGTCGTTAAGGGAAAAGCTTAGGGAAGGAACTTTGATGGAGTGTGGTGGATTGCTCGAGGACTAGCAATGATTTAAGTGTGGGGTGTTGATATTAGGCTATATAGACAATGTTTACACCTTAATATTACCATGCTTTATTGTTGTTTTATAGTCAAATTGCCAACAAAATGCTCTAAATGGTGTTCTTTTGTTTCGCAGGGAATAGTCTAAGTGAGAAGCACAACGGAGTGTTTTGGAGGCAATAATGTGAAGAAAACGCCCACTCGAGAGTACCCGAGCACAAAGAAGCAGGAAATGGCCTGGGCAAAAATTCCACCGCGACCGCGGTGGACCGCGGTGCAACCGCGGCGGATTAAAAGAGCAAAACAGAATGGTCAGCTCACACCGCGGTCGACCGCGGTGCACTGTTCACGCACCAGAAAATCTGGGGACCAAAGTGTAATTTCAGGGAAATTTTTGCCAAACCCTTATAAGCTTTAGAAACTCGCCCAAGATTGTGGGGGAAACTTGTTTTTAGAATACTTTGGAGGCAAGAACAAGTGTGAGAAGATCAACCAAACATTAGAGTTTTTCTATCTCTTTTATTTCTTGCAATTTTACATTATGAACAATTTAGTAGTTTTCTCTTATTTTGTTATGAGTAGCTAAACAATTATCTAGGGCTGATGGAACCAATTGTTGGTTGAAGTTTTGACTCAACTTGTTATAATCGAGCCAGATTTATTATATGATTGTTCAACTATGTTTTGTATGGTGATTAATTGTATGGGCCCTTGATTAATCGTGTCTAATTACCTCATATTGCTTGAGAAAGAATATTATGTTAGAAAGCTGTTGAACAACACCACTTTTGGGTAATTGAAGAGATTCATTACTTGAACTTAAAAGTGGGTTTAGAGATAACGAAACTTTGGTGGGATAATTTAGAGCTGCACATATTGTCAGCTAGAGTAGTTCGAGAGAATGCTCTAGTAAATTATTGTAGTTGATCGAGAGATAATTATGATAACCCATAGCTCTTAATCCTCATAGAGTATTACGGCGAGATTATAGCGAAAGAGTCAAGACCTAAACTAGCAATTGGGAAATTACTGCCCTAGACCTTTTTTACCATTGAATTATCTTTGCTTTAGCTTATTGTTGTTTTTAATATTATTTGAAGTAGTTAAACAAAAAAAACCAATCTTTATTGATCAAAATCTTGCATCTAGAAATTGGTTGAGTTGATAATAACATTGCCAAGAGTTGTAATAGATAGGTTAGTTCCCTGAGGATTCGACTCCGGACTTAAAATCGGATTATATTTGCAACGACCGCTTTGTCTTTTAGAAGGCATAGTTGGACGTGATCAATAACTTATTTTATGTGGAGAAAATAAAGAATTGTAGAGATCAATCAAAAATTTATAAATAAAATATTTTCCTTCAAAGCGCATCAGCATAAGATAATAATGAAATATTGAATATTTTAAGAACAATGATTATTTAGGACATATCCTTATTGTAAAAGAATAAGAAAACGTCTTAGTCCCTTGAAATTTACGTAATTTCCTAGAAAAATAATGCCGTCCACACCTAGTTCTTTTCAGAATTCGGTTATCATTAGAACCTAAAATTCCTTTTTATTTTTCAAAAGATAGGGAATTCCGTGCACGCCGCCTAGTTCTTTTGAGAGGATTTGGTTGTCATTAGAACTTTGAATTCCTTTTTCTTTTTATTTTTTTTAAAGAAAAATACATACTTAGAAAATGATGGAAGCGGATGAAAAGAAAAGAAAAACGGAAAAGGTTCAGATTCATATAAAGAAAAACCAGAAAAAATATAGAGAATTTTGAATATTATTATTTTTTGTATATATTAGATTCAGTTTTTACTCTTATTTTATTTGGTATGATGATAATATGAGTTTAGCTCAAATGAAAAAACATGATCATGAGGATTCATATTATAATGGTTGTTGTTGTACTGTTTAAAGGTGTTCAATTTTATGCTCCGTTAGACTTTTATTCTATTCCTATCTTTATCCTTATCAAAATTATCTTGTATTTGCCTTTGTCATTAAATAGCACGGTATAGCCAGTTTTCGGACTGGTCAATCAAAAATAGCCAGCATTTACCAAGTCAATGAAAAATAGCCACCGTTTTGCTGCAATAGAGACCGGGCCAGCATAATATACTGGAGTTCGTTGCACTTGTGTATGAATTCCAGCATATTATGCTGGACCGGTATACTTTGCCGGCTCCAGTATAATATACTAGAGACTGGAGCACTGGTGCTCCAAACTCCAGTATATTATACTGGACCAATATACTTGCTGTAACACCAGTATATTATGCTGGAATTCTAGTGTACTTATGCTGGAACTCCATCATATTATGCTGGAGTTTCAGCATACTATCCTGGAACTCCAGTATAATATGGTGGATTTCAAGTATACTTATGCTGGAACTCCAGCATAATATACTGAAGTATTTTCCGGGGTTTGAACAGTGTTTTCGCTCAGATTTATCTTTATAATAAAAGTAGACTTAAATTTCGATTTACTTTTAGAAATTGAGTCTTATTTTGAACAACTAGTTAGTAAATCTGGCTTAATTTTTAAATTTCCTCCCTACTAAAACTTTTCCTAATANCTTGGCATGTTTTCAATACTGACAGTATCTCCACTAAGGCAATTGTAGCAACTGTTGCACCTATTGATTTTCTCGAGAACATACCTTTTTTGCTTATTTGTTTAAGTACGGCAATTAGGATCTAGTTCGACGAAAGGGAAAAAAGAAAATTGTTCAAGGATTGGAGTTGATTTGCTTTGTAAAAAGAAGATATCAATGTTACAATGGTTTCATGGGATTCAGCCTCCTCTTCCAAAAGCTAGAAGTTTATTACTCCGCTGAGTTATACACTATTAGGTGTGACAAACAATATTATCCACTAAAAATGAGTTGGATAATGAACTTTTTAAAAATGGGTCCAAAGGGGGAGAAATTCAAAATAAGCCAGATTTATCATTGGTCGTTGAAAATAAGTCAAGTTTTAAAAGTCATCGAAATTTAGCCACTTTAAATCTGAGCGAAAACACTGTTCAAAATCCGGAAAAATACGGCCGAAATTTTACGGGAGTTCGGAACAGCATAAGTATGCTTGAACTCCCTTAAATTTTACGGGAGTTCCAGGATAACTATGCTGGAACTCCCGCAAATTTTACGGGAGTTCAAGCATAATTATGCTGGAACTCCCGTAAATTTTACGGGAGTTCCAACAAGTATAATTGTCCAGTATAATATACTGGAGTTTGGAGCACTGGTGCTCCAGTCTCCCGCAAATTTTACAGGAGTTAGCAAAGTATATCGGTCCAGCATAATATGCTGGAGTTCGTACACAAATGCACCAGAACTCCCGTATATTATACTGGACCGGTCCCTGTTACAGCAAAATAGTGGCTATTTTTCATTGACTTGATAAATGCTGGCTATTTTTAATTGACCAGCGTGAAAACTGGCTATACCATGATATTTTAACCTTTTTTTCCTTATTCGAATAAAGGTTTATGGCTCTTTCAGGAACACTTTCTGGCAATTGGCATGGCGTCTGCGTCAAAAAAATGGGCACGGGACGTCTATTTCGTCGCTTCCCGGCTATACTTTCTTCTAATACTGTTCCAAATCCCACTTTTCAGGTTCTAATAATACCTTCTCATTTGCTTTTGCACCAAATATTTCCTTATTGTCAATTCGAGCACATGTTACGTTTTCAGATGGACGCCAAATGCCTTTCCTCTTAGAATATATTTGAATCTTAATTTGATAAAAGGCTTAACCAAAATTCTTGATTAGGATAAATTTTAATGATAGTGAATCGTTAGATTCACCTTATTAATTAATTGGTTCTCCCTTCAATTAATGTACGTTAACTATTCGAACAATTGCCTACGACTGTGTTTCCTGCGTAATGAAACTTTCGAGCCTAAACAATTTGTGAAAAATTGCTAGCATTGTTACTCAAGTTCAAGAACAATTTATGACTTTTGATTGCAATTCTTTGCAGATTCCCCAGTAGAATTGGTACATGTACCACACCTGTTGAGGTGTCACTGTCTTTATTATACGCTAATGGAATTACTCCTGGAGGTTTGGTAAAAGCCCTGCTTTACCCAGGAGCTGTAGCAAAGGCCATTTATAAGAACAGCCCCATCCCAAGCTATGACAATCTTCTAAAAGTCTACAAATTTACCAACATGAAGGAATATCCTGTAACACATGACCTCCAAAACCTAGAGGTTAGTAATCAATTTATGCTGCTGCTTTGGGAAGGGGCGGAGCTAGTTCCGACAAGGGGTTTAATTGAATTTCATTTACCGGAAAATTATACTGTGCAAATAGGGAAAAAAAAAAAAATATTTGTCACTGCTGGGAGTTGTTCTTCTTTAATTGTTCTGCTTTATGATACTTAGTTTTGGATGTCACAGGTTATAGTAGGAAGTTATTTGTCAGTGGCAGGAGCATTTTTGGGATTAATGAAATCAGGGAGATTCAGTCTTATTGGGATCCTTCTCATTACATGGGGGCTTGACAAGCAAGTTCTTTTTAGGAATTCCAATAGTGTAGTCATATACCCAACCATGCTAATTGCTTTGCTTTCTGCATTCTTTTCGATCAGAACAGATGTCACAAAGCTGATCCGTTTCTCCAAACCTAAGGTCTCTCTTAGAAATGTACAAAAAGCAAAATACAACTAGAGTTAGATATGCTAGCTGATTTCATCACTTTCTTTATTAACATTGTCATATATTTAGGTTGCAATACATTTTTATTAGCATATTTTTGTTCCCATGCTCTCAATTCCCCTCCCCTGGCTTCCAAGAAATGAGATGTGGGGTTTCAACATTATTGTAGGAGTGACATTGAACACTTCTTTGACAATATGATTTTCTTTTTTAGTAAGAAAAATGAGAGTACTTCTTTCACAGTATGATAGAGAGACATCAGTTTTCTTCTTCTTTTATTTCTAATCGTTCATTTCCATATCAGCATTATTGTAGCTTGCCCAAGAACAGTATGAAATAGAACAGCTATACATCATAAAGTTTTTTCTTTAAATATATTTTTGGAATTTATCTGACGCATCATTCCATCATCCCAGCTTCAATACTTTTCTTTATTAAATTATTACAGCGTATCACAGCAGTTTTAATGCTGACAAGTACCAAATGCTGAGTCAGCGGAACTTGTAACAGTCATTGGTGTATTAATTTTCATACCTCAATCATGGTAACTAATATTGTTTCTATAAGATTATGATGTCTCCTTTAGAAGTCTTATTGAGTATTGTTTTTCCTTTGCAAATAATCTTTCATTTTGCATTATAAACGCCTGGAATAATATGCAAAAGAAAGAGTGATATTTTCAATAGAGAAACTAATGTGGGACTAGCCTGCACTTTGTGATGAATCATATGGGGGGACCCAGTGAGGCAGCAAGACAAGCAGCATCCTACACTAGGTAACAAGGATTTCTGTCTTTTTATTATTTGGTTCCATGGAATAATTATTTGTTCAGCAAATAGGAAAGCGTGATAGGGAAAGATAAAACATAAGGAGATTCCTTCCACACTCTGCAGTAGAATTCAGTGGAATAATTGATTGGTGAATAGTGAATACTGGATCAGATCCACTTTGCAATTAATAAATTTATTTCCTTACTACTAGGTATTCTTCTGAATTACAAAGAAAAGTAATTGAGTTTTCGCTTCATACCAGGTTTTGCTGCCTTTTTTATTAGATTCTTCTCTAGTACAAAGAATCTTGAACTTAAAGTTCTATATCCCCCCCCCCCCCCACCACCACCACCACCACCACTCCCCCGCACCCTCCAACTAGAGGAGTGTGCTACATCCATGGAAGCTGATATTCTCAGAATCATCAGAAGATTTGCACTTGCAGAAGTGTTTTTATGCTTCTAATGGCTAGTCACTGTAAATCTAGCTGATGTTCGGGGGTTTTAAAAATTTGCTGCAGAAGTCCTCTTTTCCATCTTGAGGGTAAAGGAAGATTTTCTGAGAAATCCAAGATTTCTTTTTCAGGTAAAAAATTGGTAATTTTACATTGAAATTAGATCTAAGATGACTACCCCTTCTGCAGGTTTGTTAAGTTGACGTACATTTTGAACCAAAAGTAAAAGATTCATTCTCTCAGGTTTAAAAGAGTTGGCCTGAACTTTGTAGAGAACAATGATGATGTCTTTGAACTCATTGAATTGTTCAACGTGTACATTGACTCGTATGAGCAGCCACCATAGTAATAACAAAACAAGGAAAAGTCCAATTCTGGCCACACCACCTTCATTCATTATCTCACAAACTGAAGAAAGCAGCAATTTTGCCCACTCAGTGGAGAATTCTCCTTTAGATACGGCTTCAAAGGGTCCTGATTCTGCTGTGCTGCTAACCCAAGAAAATGCAGTAGGGATCATTGGGGGGCTATCCACTGGAACCACTCTCAATTTTGTGAGGAAACTTGTCACATGGAGTTCCAAAGATGGAGGGAATGGCCTTCCCTTTGTTCTTTGTTCTGATCCAGTTCTTAACAAAGAGCTTTCGTTCCACGAAAGGGGACCGAGTTCTTTGCTCGCTGGTAAAAATGAAAACTTACAGAAGGATCATGCTTCAACTGTTGAAAATCTAAGGCACAAAAGGATCTTTCTTGAGAAATCCGGAGCTCGATGCATTGTCATGCCTTGTCACATATCAAATTCTTGGCATGATGAGGTTGCAAAAGGTTCTTCAGTTCCTGTCCTTCATATGGGCGAGTGTGTGGCCAAGGAGCTCAAAGAATTGAGTTTGCGACCACTAGAAGCTGGGAGTACTCTGCGAATTGGAGTTCTAGCTTCTGATGCAACTTTGAGTGCTGGAGTTTATCAGGAGAAGCTTCAAAATGAGGTATTGACTGTGGTTCTTGGAACTCTTTATCTCATACTTTTATGTGATTATTTCATCTATCTGAAAATGTGTCTCTAGTTTTCAGCATGTGACTAGTTTAAGAAATACCCAACTTTCCTGTAATCTGTGTTACCAATCACTATTTATCCTGTTTTATCAACCTTCTAACCTGTGAATTTGTGGTGCTTCAAATATTTATGTTGGATAATATGCACTGCGGTGATGGTATGTTACAGGATAAGCTGTCTGTCAGTCTTGTGCTTTGAGTGCCATGAGATGGGAAATATCCATTTAGCATCCCTTCTTATCGATCTGGCTGTGCTGAGATATATCCTACTTGTCATGATGAGATTCCTGTGATCCTTGTCAAAAACCACCGGTTTACAGTGAAACTATTCAGCTCAGCATCTTTTACCTTTCACTTCTTTCCGGCAGTAGTCTTATGCGCCTCTTCATGCGATAGTGTATAGAATACCAATATTCCCGCATTTTTGTTTCATTTATTTACCTTTCTGGCACGTCATCTTATGCACCTCTTCATGCGATAGTGTATAGGATAACAATACTTCAGCAGTTCCGTTTCATTTATTTCTCTTCGGTGCTACAAGTCACGGGATTCAAGCCGTGGAAACAACCCTTGTGGTCCAACCCTTCCCCGGACCCCGCGCATATCGGGAGCTTAGTGTACCGGCTGCCCTTTTCTTTTTTTTGCTATAGAGCAGCATTTTGCAAGTTCATAGGTATGCATATACTGACAATTTTCTAGTCCATTAGTTTGTAGACTGCCGGCCCTGCATGATTCCAAACATGTTTAGTGCCATTCAGAAAACAGAACTGAGTAAAAGTTAGTTTTCACTTTTCGGTGACCAACCCGCTCCCCTTTTTTCCCTTCAAGTAATCAAAGAAGCAACTGCAGTGAGGAACCTTTCCATGTCTTCTTGTATTCTTTCTTACTGCCGCTTCTGTTCCATTTTCGAACTTTTCTCTATGGGGTTGAGCTATTTTGCAGTTAAGGTGTACCAAAGTAAAATGGAAGTATTTTTCTTCAGAAACAACTTAAGAACAAACAGAAACAGGGAGGTTTTAGCTTTGCCATAAAATAGAAGGCTTCAATATGATGGTGAAGAAGACGTGTTTCTTCAGCCGAGGACGTTCAATTGTATAGATATGTCTAACGTAGGCATGTTGGTTAAGCAAGATTTTGTGTATTGTTGCTATGGACTGATTATCAATTCTGATGCCTCTCTTACTGAGTGTAGGGTTTTGAAGTTGTGCTGCCAGATAAGGCAACGATGGAACACACCGTAATCCCTGCAGTTGAAGCCTTAAACAGGAAGGACATTGAAGGGGCACAGAATTTGTTAAGAATCGCGCTACAAGTTCTTCTAGTGAGGGCAGTTAACACTATCATAATTGCCTCGGATGACATGCGTGATCTGTTACCTCCAGATGATCCTCTTCTAAAGAAATGTGTCGACCCAATGGATGCCTTGGCTAGGTCGACTGTGGAATTTGCAAAATCAGTTGAAAGGAATGCATAAAGACACCAAAAACATATCTATATAGAGATGCAACTGCAAGTATAGTGTGTAGTGATCAAATCATGGTAGCATTTGTAATTCTTTAGTAATTTGGTTTATCTATTCTGATTAGTGAAAATAATACATTCACTTCACAACACACAAAGGCATGTTTTTTCGAACTAAAAACTTAAGTTCTTATACATCAAACAAACAGAATCTTAAACTAAGGAGTTACCAAAACTCTCCCCTGCTTACACAAAAGGTCACCTACTAAACACCAGTTCAGGTTCTTCAGTTCTCCACTGCACGTGAGTGATAACAGGACAAGCTGTAGCCTTTCAATCCATTCAGCATAATTCATGAATATGTTCATTTTGATAAATCTATATTAGATTTGATAATTCAGTTTGTACTATTAATATCTTATATCAAATTAAAAATTTCTGCAACTCTCACACAAGAAAACTGCTGGTACCTCCTGATCATCAATGCCAGAGCACGTTGTGTGAAACCATACTTGGCAAGCATCACATATTACCATTCTCTCCCCATCATCATCCCTGGCCCCACAAATGCAATCCACCTTTAACTTTATGGGCCCACCTTCATACCTCAGTTCAGTATCCAAGTCCAGCCCACGCCCTCTAACCCAAACGTGTGCATCTCTGCCTACTGCGCAAGATAGCATCCTTTTATCCTCTATTCCTTTCAAACCACCAATTTGTGTTACTACAAAGTTTTGCATTATGCAATAAGTATCCCTTAATGCCAATTGTGCCACCCCTTTAAGCTCACGTATTGTAATCCAAGGGGGAACATAAACAACCACACCAGGTGACAATGGCCGAGTCAACTCACTCTCTAACTCGTCGAAACTCGGCAAGACTTTACATGTTAATGCCATTATTTGGCTTTCTTGATTCTCAAGCTTCCACTTTTTAACAAATTTCTTGCTGTCCAAGACAACCCGAGTAGCCAAACTCACGGAGTCTGACCCCGGGTAACTCAAAAGCACTGTTTCATACAAGTACTCAAGATCTTGATCAATAGTGAAGTCTAACTCAATGTTCTCAATTCTGCTTGCTTCAACAATGTCTTCAAATGCAAATTCAATCCTTTTAGTAGATGGGTTTTTCGATCGAAAAATGATCTTGTTTCCCATCATGGATTTGTTTAAGGATTTCAGCACGTAATCAATCAGCCCGGTGTCACGTATAGTTGTCCTAGCCTTATCACGCAGCTCCTGCCGAGACATTGCACCATCACCATTGTGTGCTCTCAAGATTTTCAAAATGAACTCTGCAGCTTTTTTCACCTTTCTCTCAGTCCACCTGCAACCAGAATCCTTGTCCAAAACTGGAAACCTTATTGATTCTGCTTCCTTATTAGCAGCTTCATGGATAGTGAATTCTAATAACTTAGTATTTGGGTTAATAGATCGACGAATAATTTGGTTTCCCAATTGAAAACATCTGATAGATTTCAGCACAAAATCAATCAAACCAGTGTCACCAATACATTTTCTTGCCTCATCTCTCAAGTCCTGCCTTGTCATCCCATAATTTCTGTTCACATTTTCTTGATTTTCTTTCAGCAAATTCACAATCACTATTAGCACAAATTCTAGCCTTCTAGCAGGCCATCTACAATCATTATTAGCCATCAAATTCACAAATGTATCCATACTAATTGGCCTATGTTTCTCTCCTATATCAGGATCACACCAATAATCATCTCTATTTTCAAGCTTCATCTTGCTATGAAACGGAGCTTTAGACTTAAAAGCAAGCATAAATTGAAACAAGTCACTGATTGTGATCAATGGAATTTCACTCAACTCTCTATAAGTACCAATAATCTGCTTGATTTTAAGCCTTTTAGGAATATCCCTCTTGAAATCATTCAAAATCTTATCAAGTCCTAATGAGCTTAGGAATTGAACAGCAATTTCATATTTCTGCTCTGTCACTCCATAGCTTCCACGGCCAAATCTGTAATCCCATTTCCCAAACCAGGATTGTCCATATGCAACACCATGAAGCAACCTCAATTCCATACCTCCCTTCTTTGACACATCATTCACTGAAATTTTCCTGCCAAAATAATAATCATAACAATAACATAAATGATTCTTCAATTTCAGCTTAAATGTTCCATACGCTAAGGAAAACACATACAAATAATACTACTTCCTCTTTTCAGAAAGTTTTGATGATTTAGCTTTATTTACTTAGATCACGAAACTCTTATATTATGACGAAATAATTCTCACATAAACACTATGAAAACAGACTAAGATTTATCAGTATGAACTGCATTACCTGGTATTGAAGACTGTACAAAGACGATCCCAGAAATCCATGAAATCAGTTCCAGAGAGCAAATTTGAATCCCCATTGACAACGCCATTACTAATGGACAACAAATGGCCATAACCATTGCTATGAATCAAACCATGCAAAACATGAGTGTCAATTTCTATAGAATCGCTTCCCAATGGCTTTTCCCAGTTCTCATTTGCCGGTATTACCAAATGGTACCTTCTTTTCGACACATAATGGTGACCCCATCCTTCAACAACCCAACAAAAAATATACTCAGTAATTATTATAAACAACCAAAAGCACAGACAAAATTCATAACCAATTTGCAGATAAAAGAATTAGAGTATTCAGTTAATTTTACCAGAAAATTTGCAGTGATCACAGAAAGGATTAAGAGAGAGTTGAGTGGTTTCTTCAATAGTGTAGAGTGGGAAAACTGCACCGGTTGAGTTAGACATCAACCAAGTGGACCAAATTGGAAACCCAGAGACTGTGTAATCTTCAACATTAGCAAATTCTTGGAGGAACATTCTAATATTATCTTTAAAAGGTCCTGAAAAACCGTCAATGGAGTTTCCAGTTGCGAATGTTTCGAATACAAATGGCTTTCGGTTTCTCTTTCTACTCTTACAGGCTTCAATAATGGTGGATGAAGCCATGGCAGAAACTACACTGAGTCGATTTTCTGGCCAAATTGTTGAGAATGTCAGTTTGGATTTTGGGAGTGTGTTGGGATTATATGGTTATGTTCTTTTACGTTTTGGCGCTCTATATTGATGATGCCACATAAGAATTTACATATTTAACCCTGGGGAAATGCAGAGTGAGGGAAGTTTGAATGTGGTGTTTTGAAATTTTTAAGAAGGGTACTGTGGTAAATGAGGTTCAACTGGTTTTGAATATTTGATTTGTTTTAACTTTTTTTTTTTTGGTTCACGTGGTTCGGAACAATGCTTGTTTCGTGTTCGAGAGAGTTTCTCACCCTTCCCAACAGGGAGGGGGGGGGGGGGGGGTGAGGCCAGACTGTGAAGTAGTAACAATATTAAAGCTTTTCAGTTGAAGTTAATAAAAAAAATTGTGAAATTTTGTGCATGGTCTTTCTTTATGTATGCTTTTAACTTAGAGCTAAGTAATGTTTGAAATTCAACAAATTTGCGCACCTAGTTTGATGATATAAAACATATAAAAAGAAATAATTAATTATGGATGTGAAATTGTGAAACTTGGGAAGATGATTAATCTGTGGTGGCTTCTTTTGGGATGAGTCATGATCTTTAACATTGCTCGAGTTTATTACATTCCCAGCTTGAGGGCCTATTAACTCCTTCAATGCTATTGAAATAGCCTGTGATTGCAATCTTGGACAGCTCTTCCCCGGAGGAAAAAGAAAGAAAAGTATCAAGGGCTCGTTTGGTACAAGGATAAAGGATAATTAATCCCGCTATTAATTTTAAGATGAATTTATCTCATGTTTGGTTGGAATAAAATTGCGGTATAACTAATTTCGGGATTAGTTATCCTGAGATTGTAAGGTTATTTTTATCCTACTATATGGGAGGATGGGATAACTACTCCGGGACCCTGAGATAACTTGTTTCCTAACCAAACGACCCCAAGTATTAAGCTTCCAGACTCCAAAAGGACTATGAAAAATTGAGAATGCAATCAAAAAGACCAATGAGACTACGAAAAATTGGAAAAAAAGAAGGATAAAAATAGAAAACTCAATGGACACTACTAAATAACAAGACACCCCATATTCACGAAGCCCTCTTCTGTTAGATGTGTATATCTTTGCTGAAACTATTGTTGTAGAGACTGTACTTTTGACTTGCACCATTCATCATACATTGCTGAAGCTATGAGCCTATTCTGATTTGTGACACTATACATTCACTTCACAAGACAATAATAAGGCAGGTTTCTTCAAACAAAAAATGAAGTGCTATACATCAAGCAAGTAGCATTTTGAACTAAAGAGTTATCAAAACTGTCTCCCCTGCATACGTAAAAGGCAGCCAATTCACCACTTCAAAAATTGATCAAAGTGCCACAAGTTCAGGTTCTTCAGTTCTCCATTGTGTGTGATGATAACGGGACAAGCTGCACCCTTTCAATCCAGTCAGCATAGATCTGGCTGATCTTCTGTACATTAGTCCACTTGAATAAAAATCTACACTCGGATGCCGCAGTTTTGGCTGGAGCAGAAATGCCACTGGTTCCCAACGGCTCCAGTGTATTGGAGGAACCAAGAGTCTGCAGTTCTGTCAATATTGACAAACATTACAAATTAGAAATGGCATAAGGAAAAGAAGATGAATACAATCAAAAAAACAAAGAGAAAAAAGCATATATAGAAAGAGAATTGTTGCATGGCTCTTGAAGTGCTGAGTTTCACACAATAGCATCTACAAGAATTCTGAGATATAAGTTTTGACTAAGGTTTAAACATAGCACATTGCATAATTAACTAACAAAAAAACTTCGTATCACAAAAACCATTCTGATCCTCTACACCTAAGACCAAAATTTAAGACTCCACCTACTAATCACACAGCAATTTACAATGTCAGCACCTTTTGAATTCTGGCGGCAGAAGTCAAAATTCATTTTATAGATATCCAAGAAAAAACTGCAGCAACACGTGTTAATAACTAAGCTCATGAAATTTCTGTAAGGAAGCTTCACTAGCCATTAAATTGCAATAATTGAATCTTCCCCTGCTATAAGGAATCAAGCATTAGCACCAAGTCAACAGCTGAGGCCAGAAACTCTAGACAACTTAATCTGGTAATCTTTTCAGATCAATAGATATCAGGGCAAAGCCAAATAGACAGGACTGTCCATGACATGTAAAAAATAGATTCATCATATATGTCCATCTTTTTAGTTGAAATCCAATTGAAAGTATATCTACTGACATTTAGATAGGCAGGTACTTTGGTAATAGCATGTCGGTCACCAATATGTCTGGTACAAAAACATGCCTAACAGAAACGAAAAGAGGAAAATGGTCTGGCAGAAATCAGAGAATAGAACCGACAATTTCTTTTTAGAAATATCCAACAAATAACTGCATTGTTATGTGTTGCATTAACTAAGCTCAAGAAATTTCTAGAAGAAAAAGCCTCCCCTGCTATAAGGAATCAAGTATCAGCAGCAAATCACCAGCTGAGAGCAGAAAGTATAAACAGCTTAGTGTGATCTTTTACATAAATAGATAGCAGGGTGAAGCGATTACTTGCAAGACAGACATGAGTATCCATGACATGTTTGAACATAGATTCTTAATACATGTCCATCCTTATAGTTGGCATCCAATTAAAAGTACGTATGCTGAAATATAAACAGGCAGGTACTTTGGTATTAACATGTTGGTCGCCAAAATCTCTTGTACAAAAACAAATTAAACAGAAATTTAAAGAGAAAATGGCGCCTAGAAGAGATCGGAGAATAGAAGTTGGAAAACAGGCATTAACCATGTGTTCTAAGCTTCTTATTTTCAGCATACTTTGAACAAAGACTCGACAATTTATTTTGCTCTATGCATATTATTTTGACAGTTGCAAAAGGTTCGAGGAAAAAATCCAACACCTAATACACATAATAAAAGAACTTTCACATGTTGTTAATAACAAATCATTAACTGATATAAAAGTATTTTCCACAACAGCTTACGGACAAAGAAATGGAATATCAACTAATCAACATGAAAATCAACCCAAGTAATTAATCAAATACTGAACAACAAAACAGGGGCATAAACATTCAATAATGAACTACAAGTTGTGGAAAGACCTGCTTTCCCATGAGCAAATTGACACTTAGAACCATATGCACAGCTACCAGTCCTTTCCCAGTTGACGCAAAACTTGGTCTTCAGTAACTCTTTACGTAACTCCACAGTCCTCTTGTGTTCACGCCCACTAGTCGCAATACTTATCGCAGAGCTAACCCTGCAAAAACCTACGCCTCCCTCAAGTTTTTGATTGCGTTCATGAAGAAAATGGCATTTATTTCCATATGGACACTCTTTACCACTATCGAAATAATGACATGATTTCGGCTTACTGAGATTTCTTTGATCCTCAACCCTAATGCCGTTCAGACGCCCAGTAATATGAGCATAACGACACTCGTTGCCATAACTGCAACTACCCCACCTTTTGAATTGTAAGCATGGTGGTTGAGGACCAAGGTTCATAGACCTGTTATCTTCCGGCCCCATTTTTGAATTCATCATTCTGGGTCTCTTGAAAGATTGACATTCGGCATTAGAACTAAACCCACATTTTTGGCCACTTGTATTAAACTGAGGCCAATGGGTGGAAAAATGCTCTTCACGTTTACAGGAGATTCCAAAATTATTAGCAGGCGTACTCATCCTCAAAGTGACTTAGGGTTTTGAAAAAATCAGAAAAACTTGCTTGAATGCGTTTGTGGGAGTTTAAAATCGAGTGACCCAGATGGTCGTTGTGCTATCTTTACTTCTATCTAAAAAATTTAGAGAATGCTCAGATTATATTTCAACACGGAAAATCAAAAAGAGTAAACCGAAACACAAAAAATGACTGTTAACATGGGCCAAGTGAGGCGATCGGTCTTACACATCAAGGACTGTAGTGGGACTGTGGGAGTCCTTTTAAAGCAAATCGACTGAACAGGTGTTAATGTTATGATACTCTTCCCTCTTTCTTAATGTACCAAAACGACGTCGAAGGAGGCCTGGGTGCGAATAACGATGTGGCATACATACTCCGTATTCATATCATTCTGCCATTAATCATTTGCATTGGAATATTCAAGGACATGGACTTATCAAAGGGTCGTCTTTGTCAAAACGAGTAATATTTGATACGAAAAGAGTAGTAAAATTATGTAAACCAATCTAAACAACTAGTATTAGTATAGACTTAGTTAACGTTTGGCGATTTCCAAATTTGTTTTGAAAAATTTGATTTTGCGTGAAATTTGGTTTGAAGATGAAAATATGTTTGGACATCACTTTTCAAACATATTTCACTTCTTTTTTTGTTGAAAAAACATGAAACATACTTATACCCACAAGTTCGAAAAACTATCACACATACACAACAGTACCTTCATCCATAACATTCATTCTATTATCGCAAACCATAGTCCTGAACATTTATAAATTTGGTAAAATTATCATTTTATATTGAACTACATAATACACTATCAGATGCCCGAGAAGACGAAGCAACATTGTTAAAAATAATAAATGGTGGACTCTTTTATAAAATACAAAAGCTTGGGCAATTTTTAAAAAAGTGTAATAGTAATATTTTGGGCCAAAACTAGCTCTTGAGCTGGTTTTGGGATTTGGGTTTTGAAAATTTGCCAAAATATGGATAAAATTTATTGACAAACATGTATTTGCCAAAAAAAAACCAAATAATTTTTGGCAAAATCTATGGCCAAACGGGTTCTTAGTATTAGTATTTAGGCTAAATATTGGCTCCTTTAGCTTGCCCAATATTTTCATCAAACTACCTGAACTAAGGCTTGTACATATTAAATACATTAAATAGCACGATTATATGTCAATTTAACTTTGCCTGCTTACTTGGCACAAGACGTGAGTTTTAGTCAAACTGAGCGCTTGACTTCTTCCACAACCACTGCCATGGATTCCACAACGGTAAAAATTAAACCCCTTTTAAGATCCCTTCCATTTATTAACTTATCCCAACAGAATCGCAAAGATAATAAACCCTAAATCCTCTCATCTGCTCCCATCTTCTCCCATGTTAAATCTGCGACTAAATTGAAATACAAGAATCCAAGCTTCAATTTTTCCTCTTCTCGCAGTAATTTAAGATGCAAGCTTCTTCTCCTCACATCAAATCAAGCTTCAACTTCTTCAATTTCTTCGTTTTCTTCTTCGCACTACATAACTTCAGCCGAATATGGTGTACTTATGTCGATGTGGGCATGTTGCAAAGTTTCAAACTTTCTGGACTAATAAAAATCCATGTCGCAAATTCTACTGCTGCTATTTGGGAAAATTAAGTATTTTTTTAAGAAATAAAATCGGAATCCTCAATCTCAAGTCGCGCATTTCTCCCTTGAAGGCATCTAGTGCATGCAAATTCTTTATGTAGCATGATGACCAAATGCATGACCAACCAATGAGGGCTATTTGTGGTCTCTTGAAGAAAGCTAACAAATTTAAAAGACAAAATGCTTGGTTGAAGTGGATTGTGGCTCTATTGTTGCTTTACATAAGCTGGACCTGGCTTAAGGCTACCTAGTTTCCAGCAATTTGTTATGTATTAATGGATGGTTTAGGATAGGTTTTGTTCAAAATTTGTAATTTGTAATCTGCAGTTTGTTCAAGTATTGGTTTGGCCTATTGGTTTTGTTAATCTGCAACTTTCACCTTATATTGTGCAGATTATGTAATGTAACAAATTGTTCATTCTCTTAATATGAATTCCAATATTCGTTGTTCATTACTCTAAGATGTCGTTATGCATGATTTTCAATTAGTTATGAGAACAATTAAATCAAATGGCAACAACTACACGCCCACTGCCATTAGTAGCTCCAAAATATTATAGATAAGTGGCTCATACATAAGCTTCAAAATAAACATAAACAAGTAGTCGTATGCAATTACATTCTCAAAATAAAAGTTTTAAGTTGCCTTCTAGATCTAACAGTTTGTTACATATTCAAAACAACAACAATCCTAACGTCCATACTTATTGGCAGCTCCTCTTTCATGTGCTGATATTCTTGAGGATTTTGTGCTGGCTGGAGCTGTTGATGGTTGGCTTTTTCTACTAAATGCACTCATATGCTGCAATTGTGCACTTGTGATTGCTTTTCTACCCCTCCATTTCAGGTCATGTGGTTGGAAATCAATGTCGATATTAATCCCAACTGCACTCTTCACAGCATTTTCACCTAAGTCTTTCAAAAGTTGTACCAGGCTGGAATGTCCCAATATCATGACACATTAGTCACATGCATTTGGGTTGCCATAATTTTAATGAAAAAAAGAGTGCTTGTTAACTTACATTTAGGACTGTTCGAGATGTTGTAGGATCTACAAACACATCATAGCCAGTAATTCTTGGTCTCTTCCCTCCAACATTTAATGTTTCTGAACTTGAAGCCACAATGGAATACATGGTCTCATTCCTCCATCTTCAAAATCATTTCCTCTTTTTTGTCCAGTTCCTCACATCATAGCCAGTAATTCTTGGTCTCTTCCCTCCAGCATTTAATGTTTCTGAACTTGTAGCCCACAATGGAATACATGGTTCAATTCCTCCATCTTCACCTCTCTTTTGTCCAGTTCCTCTTCCTCGTCCCCTTCCCCTACCTCTACCTCCTGCAGGTGCAGTGCCAACTCCTAGTTTGGTTATTTCCCTTCCCCTTCCTCTGCCTCTGCTTGGTACAATGCCAACACTTTCATTGCCTCTTCCCCCTGCCTCTGCCTGTAGGTGCATTCTCAGAATATTTTCTTACTCTTGAGGTGTCAGAATAGATAAATGTAGAGACAACATTTGAAGCCTGATAGTTGGACTGTGCTTGTTGGTTGGACTGTGACTGTTGGCTGGTTTGTGCTTGTTGGCTTGGATGCCCTAATCCAACCTGCAAGGAATTATTTTGGTAAGTATAACTTATTAATGGCATGCAAGACATTTAAGTATTGTATTAACTTACAGTTGCAGTACAGTGAGCTTTGTTGAGTTCCTATTATTGGCACCTTGAACATGTCATTTTTACTCCTTTCCTTGACCACTTGCCATATTTCTTTTTAGGTTCAGCCTTAGCTTTTCTTCTACACCTCTTGGGTCTTCCTGGCATTACTTCAGGCTCTAAAGGATCAATGGTGGGATTATTGGTAGCAGGCCATATTTCTAAGTTTGGTATTGGTTGAATAACATATGGATAGGCCCTAAGAAAGTAGTGCTTTTTGTATCATTTTTCCACTTGAATGTCAGGTTCTAATCCAACATGAACTCCTAGGATTTGTTTGCTTTATCATGTCAGCATAATCACAAAGTCTTGAAAACTCTATCTTCCAATCATCCATAAACTGCCTTATCACTCTTATTTTAGCCCTGTAACATACTGATCTACCAACATATAAGCCCAATTTGTCTCCGACCAAATCTTGAATTTCCATAATTGTAACTCCAGGTTGAGATGTGATTCTGTCCTTAAACTTGTTAGCAATAAACTTGGAAGTGCACATTTTATTTTTAATATATTTTGGACATTTATGGATAGGGTAGTAAGTCTTTACCATAAAGTCCATGTATTTTTGTCAAAACTAGTATACAATAACCATTTGCATCTCTTGCACTTGCACTCCACTCTAACTCTCTTACTATCATTAGGTCTCAATTTTAACTGAACTTTGTACTCAACTGCATATTTAGCTACAGCCTCTCTAAATTCATTAGCATTTTCAAACACCATACTAAGCTAAAATATATCTAATACACAATCTGGATCATACCTCACCTTGTAACTTTTCTTTCTCCTAGGTAAATCAATCGAGGTTCAGCAGCACGATCTAACTCATCTTTATTATCATCACTACCAACATCTGAACTATCAATAATCCTCATCCCCAGCTAGTTTACCAACATACCTGGTAGCCTTGTTCCTTCCGATGTCCTCAAACCCTCTATCTATACCATCTTCCCCTAAAATGATTTCATCAGGCACTGCAACTTTCTTTCTTTTCTGCACATCATTAGTATTGGCAACCTTGGCAACCTTCTTAGTTCTCTTTTCATACCTAATAGCCCTCAATTCATCATCAGCATTACTGTCATCTTCTTCGGTAAGTCCATCTAAATCAGAGTCACTACTTTCAATCTTAGAATCATTCCAGTCCAGATCTGATAAATTATCAACACCAACTGACTGTTGCTCTTGTACCCCTTCCTTTTTCCCCCTTTCATCTATTACCACATCTACTAGGTCTTCTATACCAGTAGCCTCATACCCAAGTTCAGGTCCAGACACGTTTAATGACCTACCAGTCGAGGATTCAGGCCCAACAAGTAAACCCACAACTTCAGGCCTAGTAACAAAGCCCACAACTTCAGGCTCAGCAACTAGAGCTTCATCTATAATATGCTTAATGTATCAGTCCAAATTGTCTCCTGATTTTAAGTCATTCAGAATCTTTAAGAGTTGATGGTCTGTTTTCAAGGCCTTGAACTCTGAACTGTTAAGGTCAACGTGATAAAAACCACTCACAAAGGCATACCCTAAGTCTTTAGCATAAGAATAAAGCTAAATAACTGAAAGAGGTCTTTATTAATAGAAAATACCACAGTTTCCATCTCCCCGATATAATTTGGTACATGATCAGCGGTAAATNTACAACAGACCTTCTATCGGGGCATCAATACAACGAATCAATGCATAGTGAATCAATTGGCTGGGGGTAATTTCATGAAGCTGCCTTATGATGAAGCTTGTGCAATTCTTGACGAGATGGCTGACATATCCTCCGTGTGGCAAAGTAGGGCCAATGTGCCACAGGGTGACCCCACGGTCACTCATTTGCACAAAGAACTACATGACCATGGATAGGCTATAGCAGAACTTACAACAACAATGAACCAATTAGCAAAGGCACAGTTGCAACAAGTTCAGAATCCTCGCCAAGTAAATGCCATGGAGGGTGTCAACATGCTTGTGAACAATAGAAGACAAAGAGGTCAACAGAACCAAGGGAGTTTGGATCAATTTGACAATGATTGTGATGGATTCCAACATGATGGTTATGATGGGCAGAATGAAGAGGTACAATATGTGAATAATTATCAAGGCCAAAGAGGCAATTCTTCTAACCAACAGCAACAATGGAGATCCAAGGGGAATTGGGGTAACCAACAGCAAGGCAACAATAATTGGAACAATCAAAAACAAGGGAACAACAATTGGGGAAATCAAAACAACAATCGGAACAATCAAGGAAACTGGGGCAACAACAACAATTGGGGTGGAAACAACAACAACCAGGGTGGATGGAACAATAACCAAGGAAATCAGGGGCAAGGCTTTCAAAGGCCCCCAATGTACCAACAACCGAGTAACCCACCGCCTTCTCCATCCCAGGGTCCTAGTTCATCCAATAATGAAATGGGGAGAATTGAAATGATGTTTGAATAGATGATGAAAAAGAATGCTGACTCCGATGCGCAATTGGCTTCTCACAACACTTCAATTAGAAATTTTGAGGTTCAGCTAGGCCAAATCTCACAGTCCTTGAACACTCTCCCTAAGGGGGCTCTACCGAGTGATACGGTAGCTAACCCAAAGGGTGGCAATAATCATGTTATGGCGGTAACTACTAGGAGTGGACAAGACGGTGATGTGAATGCCTCCATACAAAAGCAAGTTTTGGGTGATGAAGTTGAGTTGCAAGAAGATGAAGTTCCTTTGGTAGTTGAAAATGTGGTTGATAAAAATACGAATGAAGAAGTGAGGATTGATATTCAAGCATCAAAATTTCCTAATAGGTGAATTTGCAAATTCATACATCATCATTGTGTTGTTACTTTAATTTCTACTCCCTCCTATCCATTTTAATTGATATTTTAACCTTTTTTCCGTAATATTCAGAGGCAGAGTCAAGATTTCAAACTTATGNTTTAAGTCATTCAGAATCTTTAAGAGTTGATGGTCTAGTTTTCAAGGACCTTGAACTCTGAAACTCGTTAAGGTCAAACGTGATAAAACCACTCACAAAGGCATACCCTAAGTCTTTAGCATAAGAATAAAGCTAAATAACTGAAAGAGGTCTTTATTAATAGAAAATACCACAGTTTCCATCTCCCCGATATAATTTGGTACATGATCAGCGGTAAATGACCCCCCCCCCCCCCCACATGGTGGAATTTAGTGTCTATAAATTCCGACATCAGATAAAGTAATGACATAGCTAACAAAAAGACACATAAAGTTACATGCAATGAAGACTTCCAATACAATCCTAAATTTGCGACCGAATCTCAAGAATACCCTAAAGCAAACAAAAGACGACAAAAGAGAACTTATGTATCTTGTCTCTTCTCCACGAGCATAGATAATCCACCATCTAAGAACCTCCATTTGAGTTTCTCCATCAACAACCTTAATCAACTTCTGACAACCCTAATTTGACTTCGAATCGGAAATAGAATAGATGAAAAATATAAATAGCACGAAATCAAAGGATAACCCTAAACCAAACACTGTAATTGGACGAAAATTGAAGAATAAATCAAATAAGAAAGGGTAATCGAACGTGAGTGGAAGAGAGAAGAAACAAGTTTAGGGTTTTTTTAACTGGTCGAGATGAATGAAATGAATTTTGGGAACGGTTAATTTACATTATGCCTTTAGATTAGGAGTAATTCTAACGTGGTAAAAAAAATAGTTGGCATTTGTTGGTTGGTTTGTTTTGACACGCAGGACGTGTTTTACTTCACGCGCATGTATTTTTAAAATGACTGAGCGCGCAAAGTTAGATTGACACATAATTGTGTTATTAATGTATTTAATAGGTACAAGCCTTAGTTCAGGTAGCCAGATGAAAATTGGTCAAGTTAAAGGAGCCGTATATGTATTCCGCCTAGTATTTAATATCAGAACTATCATAAGTGTAACTTCTGTTTAGCCTTATTTATACTATATTAAAAATGTCATCTTGCTTTTGAATCCGCAGTTACCATATTATCATCAAAATTTCCTAATAGGTGAATTTGCAAATTCATACATCATCATTGTGTTGTTACTTTAATTTCTACTCCCTCCTATCCATTTTAATTGATATTTTAACCTTTTTTCCGTAATATTCAGAGGCAGAGTCAAGATTTCAAACTTATGGGTTCTGTATCCTAATCCCTTTAAGTTACTGGGTTCTAAATTAATAATTTGTACATACTTCATTAAAATTTTAAGACAAATACATGATTTGAACCAAAGTTATTGAGTTCGGTCGAAGCAGTAACCAACACTGTGGCTCCGCCTCTGACAATATTTGATTTTTTCAGATATCAAGAAGGAATTAACTTCTTTTTTCCAAAGTTATCCTTGGAGTAAAGAGTCTAGGAGTTTGTTATATTTTCAATGAACTAATTAAGGTTAATACAGTCAATTTCAGTATTAATTAATAATAAAGGTAGATTCCTTAATATGTGTGGAAAAAACCAAGAAATCAATTTAAGTAGAACGGAGGGAGTATTATTTTGTCAAAACCCTCCAAGTTTGTTCCCAATTAACTTGTGATTGAGTTGTACTAATATAGTTAATGTTGTGGTTGTTGTCGGGGGTGGAGGAAATATAGCAAGGGTGCAAAATGAGAACAAATAACGTTGCAGATGGGTACATCTTTAATCAAATAAATTAACAAGGTTAAATAAAATCCGCAGGTCAATCAACATCTTTCAACTTGACAATGTAGTCTCTGAGAAAAAACATCTATTGAAGCTTATTTTATACCAGGAAAAGAATGGAAGATTGAGATTAGAGGGACACGTCCTCCAGTCTGCAATCTCCCCTAAAAAAGAATAAAAAACAGAAGCAAACAAAACAGGGAAGAAAAATTACGAATCCCAATAATCAAAACTATGACAAGAATTCTCGAATGACAGTTTAAATGCCGGTACTAGGATTGATTGAGTTGTTGGGATAGTTCAAGCTGCCAGGGTAATTAGTATCGCCTGGAACAGTGGTGTTAGTATTTGCATCATTGTAGTTGATGGTGCCTGGATGATTGAAATAGTTGCCACCAGTAGCAGTGTCAGTGGTGTTGTGGGAATCAGGATTTATTCCTAGAGTGTTCTTGACTGCACCAGCTGCACCTGTCGCAAGGTTTGCTGCACCAGTTGCAGCTCCTCGAGCCATGTTCACTGCACTTCCTGCTGCTCCTTGAGCCATATCTGCTGCTCCGTGTGCTATGTTCTTCACTTGTGTCCCCGTCTTAAACATTTATAACATCACAACTTAATTATTCTTTCAACTTCCATCTTAATCTCTTAAAAATTCAGAAATGTCAATTACCTCTTGAAGCAAGTTGGTTGCTTGGCTTTGGTTATGGATGTCAGATGGTTGATTCACCATGTCTTCCCTTCTCATCTACAATTGGTTAAAAAAAAAAAGAATGTTAGTAGTATTAGTATTAGTATATAGAAAAAGCAGAGCTTCATATAGGTAAAGGAGGGTTAAGAATTTAAAGGAAGAGTGTAATGAAACCTGAGCTTGGCCGGGGATTTGGATGCTGTGAAGGTTGTCACGTCCTTGGCTTGCCATGGTTAATTGGTTTTGGTACTTAACTTGTTTATGTTTAGAAGTAGCACACTAGTAATTGTAGATCAAAATGCAAAATATGGAATGGATTTTGAAATGGTTGTATTGGTGAATTTATAAGCTTCAAAAATGCACAATTGGTTACCTCAATGAATGCATATTCTAACACATGGCACAATGCAACAACTCTTGATCTTTCCTAGCGTAGCGTATGGTTTTGTTCGGACAAGAATATGTCAAACGAATTATTCAGCCGTTTATTTTGGGGAGAGTTATAATGAGAAATATAGTTACTGACCAAATGCTTCGGTGACTTATAAAGACCAACAAGCCAAGAATTTCTCTTAGCTTCTTTGTCCTTTCTTCTCTTTGTGGTTTTTGTTTTCTTGGTAATTCTCATTTACAACACTCTGTGCAGAGTCACAGGGAAGCACAAACTTGTTGACTCACAGTAAAATAAGTTCAATTTCATTTTCGTTTACAACAATATTCACATTGGCCGTTGGTCCATTGTTACATTGTTACATCGACTGTATATCAAAATTCTCTTCGTATTTCAGTTTAATTGAATTTTTTTGTCCTTTTACAATTTCGAAATAAAAGTTAACGTCATTAGAATTTTCCAAAAAGTTGGGGGGAAAATGAAAAAGGTTTTTTCATAACATAAGTCTTACACTTATAAGTTGGAACAAAAATCAACTTCTTCTTTTCCTGCAAATTTGTAAAGTCAGTGCGAAACTACAGATGTTAAGAAGCTGACATAATTTCCCACTAAAGAAGGTCAATGTTACTAGTATTAATTCAAATATAGTACTACGTATACAAAGATTTTATGAGGAAATGGACCTTCATAGCAATTTAAAATGTTGAAATTAAAAAAAAAATCTTTCTATATCTTTTATGTGTAAAAGCAAGATTTCTTATATGTAAAAATAAATCTCTTATGTTTAAAAAAGAAGATAGGGTCATCAAACTAAAAATAAATTTATAAAAACCTACAAAAGCATTAAAACGTACTTACGTTAATAAAAACAAATCATTTGTAGTAAATTAATTTAACAAGTTCAAAAATATAGGAATAGTAAATAATTTTAACTTTCAACTCCTACTTTTTGAGCAATTACCAAATGTAGTAGGAGGTCAACCTTCTAATAATAGCATGGAATAACAGGCAGGAAGTTTTCTGTAATCATTTTCGTAATCGGTAATGAACCTTATGGAATGAACCGAAGCTAACTAAACCTTGACACGTTCCTCTACACGCGTCAGTTAACAGGATACGTGTCAACAATGTACAAACTACGTAGTCTTTAAAAACCATGCAGAACCATTGCTCCAATCTCACTTCAAACATTACTCATTGACCTTTCTATTTCTTTCTACTTTCTACTTTTGTGCACTTACATCCATATCAATTTACTTTTGTAACTGCAACAATGGCTTCCCACGACCAGAGCTACAGAGCTGGTGAAACCAAGGGCCGAACTCAGGTATCTCTCCCTTTAGTTTCTATATATATCGTTACTTTCCCAGAGTGGTAATTAAGCTCTATATATTTGATTCAAAAGAGCTTAAACAACCATTTTATAGCCATGTCATTTTTTCTAGGTGTAGTTACAGATTTCGGACAAATTATGAAGTTTTCTGTGGTTTTTAACTTTTTTGTTTTGGGTGCAGGAGAAGGTTGGTCAAACAATGGAAAGCATGAAAGACAAGGCGCAAGCAGCAAAGGACAAGACTTCTGAGACGGCGCATTCAGCAAAAGGAACGGCTCACGATAAGACAGGCACCGCCAAATATAAGGCTGCAGATGCAGCTCACGCAACCGACGAGAAGGCTCGCGGAGCAGCTCAGGCAACCAAGGAGAAGGCCAGCGGAACAGCTCAGGCAACCAAAGAGAAGGCCAGCGGAGCTGCTCAGGCTACAAAAGAGAAGGCTTCAGAAATGATGGAGTCTGCTAAAGAAACTGCACAAGCTGGGCAAGAGAAAACTGGGGGAATCCTCCAGAAGACAGGAGAACAAGTGAAGAGCATGGCTCAGGGTGCTGCTGATGCTGTGAAGCATACCTTTGGCATGGCCGAAACTGATGAAGATCCTACTGCTACCAAAAGCAGAGAACTTTAGATTTGGGATCTCTTTCTTTCTTGAGAGATTTATGTACTCTTTGTGTTTAGCTTGTTTTTTGCTTTGAAATTTGCCTCCCTTTGAGGAGGTAAAGGTTTATGTAATAATAAAAAGGTTTTAACTTTTGTAGTCTGAAGTGTGACCTCGACATCAAGCTACTAAAAATGTAATCCATGTGATGTGGTAAATATAATCGATGCCGAGGAATTTCAGAGTTGAGACATCTTGATATCCCTTCAATTTGCTTTTCTTAATTTATCATCTTCCGGAAGTTTTAGATTTTTTCCCCTGTAGTAAATGGGGACGTAACCTAAGGTTGTCACCTGAAGAAGAAAAGGAAATGAAATGAATAGGGTTAAAGATGAAAGAATAAGAGAGCACCAGGGCGTCTGGCTTAGATTACAAGTCCTACTAAGATCTTAAGGGTGGAGATCTATTGGACCACTATCAATTCGTCGAACGAGTAGTTTAAATCTATCGATTTTTGATATCATTTATCTATTTTGAAACCATTACTATTATTATAACTATAATATAGAAATTCGTTTTGTTTTCAATCTAGATTATTCTAGAACAATCTAAATTATTCTAGGAGTCTAGAATATTCTAGAGACTATTACTAATAACTGATTTTCAACAGAATGAGTTAGACAATTACTGGTATTCAACTAATTCTCTCTTTTTATTTTTCTTCTTTCTCGATCCTCTCTCCTCTCTCTATCTTCTAACCCCAATTCCTTTTTTTTTTTTTGCAGGGCTCCATTGAAGACCTTTGTAATAGCTTGCAGTTTACTCATTCAGAATATTGTAAATACATTAGTTGAGCTAATAAATTTTCCTATTGACTTCCGTCATTCATTCTCATTTACATTTTACCATTACATTCAATGTTGAGATTCATTACAATTGATATCAGAGCTCTTTCTTGGCCCTAAAACAATGACAATTATAGCGACTAGATCGAAATCTACTGAAGAAAATATTAAAAGAGTGGAGAATCAACTGCAGCAACACATGGCCTCGACGAATCAGAAATTTGAGGATTTGAGCAGCAAACTGAATCTGTTAATTGAGAAGCTTCTTCCCACTCATGAGGAATTCTAGGAAGTGCTCCACGAGAAGGATTGCAACTGGATAACTTTGGAGCTCGGAATAGGTACGGTGATTCAGTAGAGTCTTCTCATGGGAGGGGACAATCCGGTCACAAATCGAATTCCCTTATTTTGATGGAGTTGGATCTGATCCTTGTTCATGGCTGCGAAGATGTGAGCGATATTTCCAATACAACCAGGTGCTGGATCCTCAACAAAAATTGGAGGCTGCAGTGCTTCACTTGGTGGGCAAAGCTGAGGCTTGGTTTTTTTCATATCAGGTGAGCCATGGAACTATTTCCTGGAAGGATTTCTGTGAAGAAATCTGTAGAAGATTTGTTGAAGGAGATAATTGTACGTTCAACTTAATTGGTGAATTAAAAAAAGTAGAACAAAAAGGCACAGTCAACGAATATCTAGAAATGTATCATCTCCTGTCGAAAAGCGAAAAGAGCAATACGTAGGACTTAAAAAGAGGGTTCCTTCCTCTCTTCACTCTCCGAATTTCGATCCTCACCTTTCTGGTGCCAAAGGCCTACCCTTCCACTTTACAGGAAATTATAGAGGAAGAAGTCGAAAAGGAAAAGAAAGTCACCTTTCCTGCCAACCTCCTGGCTTTATTCTTATACTGATCGAGCTGCACTATTTGGCGGAGTTCTCTTTCCTCTGCTATCAATAATAAGGAATACCGGGCTGCCACTTTTTTGTATCCCTCTTCTCTTCGAATACAATTCGATCCTTCTACGGCCAAATCTCAATTTGTGGAAACGTTCCGGCCAGGATGATTGAGAAAGATTCAACCAAGTTGAACCGCTCACATCACAATAGTAGTAGCGTAAAGGCCGTAAGTCGGGGGAACGGTGAATGGGAATTGACAAAAGTCATTCGAGAGAAATTCTTTTGTGGACGGAAAAAAGATCGGGAGTCTTCCTTGGAAGATCTACAAAGGATGCTTGTAGCTTTAAACGAAAAGGGGAAGGATGCAAGTTGTACAAAAAGGTCTACCTTTGTAATGTCAGGCTGAAAAAGGGATATAGAAATTTGCTTTTCGTAGTTGTGGAAGCAGTTATGTTGTTGGAATCCTAGAGGGCGGGACAGACGCAGCAGAGCGACGACCGGGGAGAGGACGCACCGGAGACCTTCGGCCATAAGACTTTAGGCGCAACGACCCCAATTTTTCGACCAAGACAATCAAAGATAGCCGGCGGGGGCCATTTTCAATTCCAGAAGTTACGGAGCCCTATTTAGCTAGTGGGGCATTGGTCATAGCCGAAATTCATCGAAGGGATAAAACCCCTCTGACTTAGGACTCACTACCCGCTTGAAAGCCCTACTGCTCCTCCCCTCTTCTCTATTGAGTTCATCTCGTAGAGGCTAAGCTCCTTGCTTCGTCGCTTCTGTTTTCAGGAACTTGACCGTCAAGTTTGAAAAAAGCTGGCCAAGCCTGTGGATTTCTTTTTATGAATTGTTCATTTTAAATATTCAGTTTAAATAAGTCGTATCTTGCTCAGACCAATAAATAGAGCTGAGGTTATTTGGTGTAATAAACCGCAAGCCCTTCAGAAAGAAAGACATAATATAATAATGAATGAAGGAGACATCATTAGCTCACTTGTCTTGGTTTAGTCTTTCGAAGCATTCCAGCGAAACGATCCTTTGACAATGGGCGATCGCTCACCAGCTAGGTCAGATTGGAGCAAGATTTTATGACTTGATCGAGGGACCAATTGACTCCGAAACATAAAGTAACAAGACCATAACCCCGTGCCCAATATTTGCGTGTACGAGCTAGCCATCAACAGAAAAAGTTTGAAGAAGGCAGAATAGCCTGGGAGACACTTGTACTTATTCCGGTTTGTCATCCCGGTCCCTACAC